AAGGAGGCGGGAGCTCTGAAAGCGTAGCCTGTAGCATGTAGCGCTGTGAACAAAAAGGCTGCACGTCTTTGTGGTTTTAATCCACCAGTGGGTCCTTAGGAGGAAGATGGGCAGCCTCCACCTGTATTTAGAGCTTCAGATGTACAGACTCCATGGAGGGTCGCTGTAAATCGGAACCGATTCCAGGGTCGTGAGTTCCGTTGAGTGTCTGGACAGGGCAGCGGACGAAGGAGGCTTTCTGCGGTCTTAAAGGCATTTGATGCTCTTCAGCTCCTCCTTGAGCTTTCTGTGGTGGCTGCTGTGTCCTTGACTCTCCTCATTTTCTTTGTGTGACCAGGTCACCTCTTGTCCGGCTTTTTTTTTTTTTTTTTTGCCAGCTTCTCTTTTAAATGTTGTGTTTCCTCAGAACTCAGGATAAACTCTTTCCTCTCTCCTTCTCTTTGCCTAACTCTCCATTTCCATGACCTTCAGCAGCACCCCTGCACTCTCACTTCCCGGCCGCTTTCTCCAGTTCTGACCCCTCTTCTGACTCCAGGCTGTTGTCATCTAACCACCCTTTGGAAATCTGTGTTCACTTAGTGCTCAGCTCCATCTCTATTGAAACATGACCCAGCCTGCCTCGTTCTCACACCTGCTTCCCATCCAGACCCTAATGCCAGAAGCCTGGGTCATGTCCCTGCTACCTCTTGTCCCCTTCTTTGTATCAGTCAGAGCACATTGCAGGGACAAATAAACCCCAACCTCTCCTGGACTTAACAGATTAGGATTTATTGCGTGCACACATCACTGACCTGTAGGGGAGCAGGGGTGAGAGGGTGAACTGTGTACAGCCATGCAGGAACTAGGTGCTGTGGAGCATTGCCGCCTTCACCGTGTGGCCTCTGAAGGAATGTTGCAGAAAGAAAAGAGAGAGAGGAAGGGTCCGGAAGCCCGTGGTCCTTAGGGGCCAGTTCACACTCTCACTTTCATACCATTGTCACAATGTAGTCCTTGTATATCAGGGAGCATCAACATGTCTGTGGCTGCACTCTGTCCCCCTGCTGTGGTCACCGTAACTCGAGCCTTTACTCCTCATTTCGAATCATCCATGCAGAATGTCCCATCTCTGCTTTTCTGTCTTTGAAATATATTCTCTTCCTTCACAACCTAATCAGAATCACTCTTTTTCTTAGAAACACTTTGTGATAAAAAGCCAAATAATGCCCCCCAATGATGTCCACATTCTAATCAGTGAAGAAAACTGTGGATATGGTTACTTTACTTGACTTAAGGGTCTTTGCCAATATAACTAAAGATCTTGAAATGAGATTATCCTGGGTTCTTTTGGAGTTCTGGTGGCCTTTGGCAAGAAGCTGCACTGCAATCCTGAAGGCATGTGGTTCGAATCCACCAGCTGCCCCACGGGAAAAAGATGAGCCATCTCCTCCTGTACAGTTAATTGCCTTTGAAAACCCACTGGAGAGTCAGCTATGGGTCCGTTCTGACTCAGTGGTACACAACAACAACAATGCAATAATTAGGGATGACAAAAACTGAGTAACAAAAAAGGGAGCTCTGGTGGCCTAGTGGCAAGAAGCTGCACTGCAGTCCTGAAGGGATGCAGTTTGAATCTATCAGCTGCTCCACAGGAGAAAGATGGGCAGTCTTCTGTATAATTCATTGCCTTTTTTTAAAAAAAAAATATTAATTTTAATGAACATTTACAGAAATTTCGGATTTCCATTCATTCATTGTTGCACTTTTCTCTCTGCCCCTCCCCAGTATCCCCCCCCCACCCCGATCACTCTTCTCTTTGAAAAGTGAAAGAAAAATTCCTTCATTGGTATACAATCCCTGCTCCCCCCTTTGCCCTGAGTACACTCCACTATGCAACCTTCGTTCTGGACTCTTGTGATAACTATAATACCCTATCATATATTGCTTTTAAACTGTTCTCTCCCTCATCTGTTTCAATGAAGTATATAGAATTTATCCAGTTTTTCTCGGTCTTACCCCAACCTTGAAGTCAGTCCCATTTTAAAAACCACTGGGGGTTCAGCTATGGATCGGTTCCAACTCAAAGACACATAACAGCAACAATGCAATAATTAGGGAGCTCTTTTGACCTCATGGTAAGGAGCTGTGCTGCTAACCCAAAGGTACATAGTTCAAATACACCATGGAGAAAGATGAGCAATCTCCTCTCGTGCACTTTACAAGCCTCTGAAAACCCACTGGAGGGTCAGTTATGAGATATTCCCGACTTGAGGGTATACAACAATAACACCACCACCACAGTAATTAAAAACAGGTATTGTCCCAGTCTGACTCCTGGTGCCTCCACGTGTGCTGGAGTAGAGCTGTGCTCCGTGGGACTATCATTGGTTGGTCTTTGAAAAGTGGATCCTCAGGCCTCTCTTTCAGGGTTTCTCTTAGACTTAGCTGCCAGACTTCCTGTTAACCACTCAGAGTGTGGACCCTTTACCTCACTCAGGGATTCTGACTTGTGGTACCAAAATCCAGCCCTCCTGCCATCAAATAGACTCCAGCTCATAAGGACCCCATGTTGTTGTTATGTGCTGTTGAGTCGCTTGCGACTCATAGCGACCCTATGAACAACAGCCCTAAACCCTGCTCTATCTTGTGCCAGTCTCACTGCCTCCATACATACCCATCCCGATTACCCCAGTCACTGAATCAATCCATCTCATAGAGGGCCTTCCTCTCCTGTATGTTTCATTGGAGTTGATTGCCTGTCTTTCTCTCATGGAGTGGCTGATGAATTCTAACTGTGTGCCTTTGCATTGTTAAAGTTCCTTAACCACTTGGTCACCAGATCTCCCTAAACTCACTTAGACACTGAGAAGTGGTTCTAGGCTTCCACCTGGCCTAAAGAGACTAGAGGTGTCTCTCAGGGAACCCTGGATCCTAGAAGGAGACATTAGCAGGACTTGAAGAGCTGTGGAAGATGGAGATGCAGACCTAGAGAACAGGTCTTGTGGTTTCTAGTGTAGGTTAGGAGCAGGACCCTCCCTGTTTTTTCTCTTCCTCTGCCCTCTTACCTCTCACAGGTGTTCTCCTCCACCAAAACTCTCCACCAATGACTGGATGATGTTTGCTAGGTGGCAGGTGGTCGGCAAATAGGTATTAAAGAGAGAAATGAACCCCTCCCCTGTCTCAGCTTCTCAGCTTCTCAAACCTTCTAAACCAAGGGTTCCCTATGTTTTTTTCTGTTATTTTGCTTGATTCCTGTTTTTCCCTGACCCTCAGCCCTTGAAATGCTACACACTTTATTTCAAGTTCCCCTGTGACATCAGGGCATATCGGCTGGCAGTAGCAGCTGGCCATGGCTAGGGCCCTAATGCTCTACATTAAAGGAACATCTGCTGGCCGGGTTCTTTTGGTAAGGACCCAGCACTCCATGGCCATTCCACAGTCGGTACGGTTCTTGGCAGCCAATGATGGGAACATTGGGCTCTTTTAAAGGACATGATGTCACAGCCAGTCACATGCTGGCTAGACGTCCCACCGTGATGGGTGTATTAACAGGAATAATTGATCACTGGCTTATGGCTATGACACAGGGCCTGGCTTCCCTCCTCTGGCCCTCGATTCCCTAAGGTGCTTTGTTCACTGTACTTCGAACTTTCCCTGGTCTTCTGGCTTCATGGGCAGTAGGTTGAGGCCAGTGTGATGGGTTTGGATTATGAGTGATAGCAATGTCTGTTCCCAGAACTTGTGAGATGCCTTTTAGTCCAAACATCTGAAGTCAAGAACTCTGATGAGAGGACGCGAGCACGTGACGGCAGCCATGTCACTTGCACGACTAACCTTTACCTAGGATCCTCTGTGTGTGAGCATCTCCTTTCCTCTTACCTCACAGGGCTTTGTCCGTGCTTCCTGCTGGATCTCTCTCAGGGGAAGGGTTCCTGGGAACACCTAATTGCAATAATGAGCTTAATGATATCAACAGTAACATACACACAGTGAGTGCAGACAGCCCAGTGTGGCTCCTTAATGCTCACATTATCTCAGAGCGGCAAATGCTGCTGGTCACCCACCTGCCCTTCCACAGTCCTTCCACCAGCTCAGTATGGTCCTTTTAAGGAACACAGCTGTCGAACACGTCCTATTTCTAATCTCCCCTAGACATTTGGCTCCCCTCTTGGATGCCCTCACTACTTGTGACTCCTCTTCCTGTCTCATAATTATAAGGTTTCCTTCCTCCAAGATCTGCTCATCTTACATGCTTTTTCTAGGTGAACTTTCTTACCCCATGGCTTCAGCCACTTCCCATTATTGCTAGAGTGAAAAATAAAGAGGTGGGAGACTGAGCCATGAGACGCGGTGAAAGTGGCTTTAGGTACCGCACTAATGGGTACGAAGAAGTTCAGAAGCCACTGGAGGGCTCCAGTTGATGGTGGGGAGGTGTGTGACACAGCCGGCCAGATGTTCGGATGGGACAGCTTGCTCTCAGCTTGTGATGTATTGGGGCCTTGAGTAAAGGAGGCTGCCACCAATGTCCCAGCAAAAGTAGTTAGAGCCCTGGCTTCTGTAGGGGGAGAGTTGTAGTGGCCTAGTCTGTAGGGAGTTACACTGCTACCCTAAAGTCTACACCCGTCTGGCAGTTCAGATCCACCAGCTGCTCCACAGGATGGACAACCTTCACTGATGCGGTTTGCAACCTCAGAAACCCACGGGAGGGTCAGCTACGAGTCAGTTCTGGCTAAGCATCGATGAGTTTGAGGGTTTTTATTTTTTTAAAAAAGCAAAACCCAAAACTATGTGGGGGTCAGTCAGGAAGAGAGTGTGGTGTGAACACAGTAGTTCAGTGCATGTGAGAGGGAGCTCTTCTTCTGAGTATGTGTGTGTGAGAGTGTGTGGAGTGCAAATCCTCCCTCAGATAATGGGTGTGTTTATGTACGTGTGTGCAGTCCAGTCCTCTCTCACACCGCTGTGTGTGAGATCTCTGTGTGTGTGTGTGTCTGAGCCCACACTCACTGTGGCTCTCTCCCTCACAGACTGTCCTGGAATGTGGGACAACATCACGTGCTGGAAGCCTGCTTATGTGGGTGAGATAGTCCGCATCAGCTGCCCTGAAGTGTTCCAGATCTTAAGTCCAGACCAAGGTACGTTGAGTCCAGGGGTTCTTCAGGACACACTCAGTCTTGTTGGCTCAGGAAGTTTAATCCACAGATTTGGGACTTGTTTGGCTTCACAACTGTGTGAACTGTTTCTCTGAGAGTTCTGTGAGACCTTGAAGAACATATGTGACCCAAGGGCAGAGTTGGAGGAGAGGGTGCTGAAGGAATGGGTAACAGCTGATGTTAGAGGAGATGGAGTGCTCAGGGGCCAGGATGTGCTGGAGGGGAAGGTGAACCACGGCTATTCAGACAAGTGCCCCACCAGGTGCGCACGGAGATGCTGGTTTTCCAGAAAGAGCAAGATTGTACTGTCAGGTAGGACAGTCCCAGCTTCGTCATTTCTGTCATCCTAGGGACTTGGAGCAAGGTTCTACCTCCAGGTTCTCGGAGTCTGTTAGCCATCATTCAAGCTGACACAGAGACATCAAACAGGAAACCTGTGAAGCCGGACACAGGGACTCTCACCCCGACTCACAGTCTCACTCTGTCTAGAGACTCCCACACCAGTTCCAGCCATTCATCTGAGGCCTGGGGACCCAAAAAACAGCTGATGTCCAGCCAGCCTCCCGTGGCTCTGAGTGTCAAAGCTGCAGTGACTCCTACAATGCGGACCTGGGGCTGCAGAAGAGACAGTGGGGCAGGGCTCCAGGCTGGTGATGGTTTCGAAACCATGGGTCTTCGAACCTGATGCTAGGGTGTTGGTGAGAAAAAGATAGAGGATGAGGACTCCTGAGGGGATCAGGATGGGACTGGGTTACCTGCACGTCCACACACAGGCCCTTTCCACCCTGGGACTTGGCTTCATCCTTCCTTCACCTTCCTACGGTCTTGGCAGGTCCGCCCCGTGGAGTTTCTAAGTCCTAATCCACAGCTCCCTGGCCAGGCTCACCTGGCAGGCTCTGTCTGCCCTGTGAGAGTCAAAGGTAAATTCTCATTGTGATCTCAATTTAAGCAACTTTGGTTCTTCCCTGGAGGGAAAGGTGCTGCAGAGAGAAGGGGCAACTGCAGACTTACTGGGCCTTCGGCTCTTGTTTCAATCTCTAGACCCAAGACCAGAAAAACCATCAAACCCACACAAAACCAAATTCAATTCTTTTGAGATGGAATTTGACTCCTTGGCACTCTCTTTCTGAACTGTGCTCTAGAGGGTTTTTGGTGGCTGACTTCTCAGGAGTAGCTTGCCACATCTTTCTTCCGAGGTACCTCTAGGTGGACGTGAACCTCCAGGCTTTTGGTTCGCAGCCAAGCACATTAACAGTTTGCATTTCCCTGAAACTGCAAGACTGGAGAATATGGCCTCTGAATGGCATACCTCAGTTTGGTTCACCCAACTTCTTGGGGGGCCTGTTACCCATGCCTGCCACCTCTAGGTCTCCTGCCAGTTAGAAGGAGGGTGACAGTTCAATTCTGTCACCCCAAGGGCTTGGGGACTGGGCAGCCCAGTGCAGGAGGTGAATTTGAAAGAGGGGACTTCCCAGAAGATGCTGGAGTGAGGGAGCACGGGACTAGGGGTGACAGGCACGTGGAAGCCCGGATGCAGACCATCTCTGACTCATTTGTTGGATCAGAATCCAGCTGAATCATTTCCTTCATTCATATGTTTCTTCCATTCAGCCATTTATTGAAACTTTACTGAACATCTACTATGTGTCAGGCACCATGTCAAGAATCTGCATTTTCAAATTTCGGAAGCAAAAAATGCACGATGAGTCAACAGTGACACAGATTGGCTTCAGCTACACCCTTCTTCCCACTGGAGCCCTCCCCACAGCGGCCATGGTTCAGTAAACCTGGGACTTCTAGTGCCTCCATTCCCAAAGCTTGGTTCACGAGACCTGCCTTATATGCTTCTTGCAGGGAGAGCTTGGAATTTCTCCATTGATTTCTGGCTTTCAGGAGCTGTCTCTCTGCAGGTTGCTACAGCGCTCATCTCTCTCTGCTCTTCAGGGCCTCCACACATTTCTTGTTAACTGTCTTTTCTGAGCTGGAGGTAGAGCTACAGGTCTCCAGTGTTCCCAGCTGGTCTCCAGCCTGTCTCTCCTGGGGCCCCAGCAGAGTCTCTCTTCAGCTTAGGGTAGGGGTGAGGGATCAGTGGTGCCTTGTGAGAATGGACCCCAGCTTCAATCCCCTCACTAACTTCTGTGATGTTCTCTCCCTCTCTTGCAGCTTGGGAAGCTGGAGCCCTTGGTAAGAGGAACCTTGGTGAGGACAGACACTCCATCTGTCCATCTAGAGGGAACTCAGCATCAGGGGTTTCCACTGTCTAGCTTCAGGGATTGAGTGGGGCTGGACTGATGGACCAATCAGCAGTCAGGTCTATGCTCCTGCCTCTCCCTTTGAATCACTCCCCCTTAGCCATACCGGAGGTGATGGGAGCGGTGACTGGGGACAGGAAGAGGGTAGACACAGTCATAAACTGAGGGCACTCGTGGGCTTGTTGGGAAAATGAGATTCACGAATTGAAGGGTTAGTGAATAAGCCCATATGTTCATGTAGGCACATGCTCGCCCATATGTTCAAGCTTGAATGTGTGCATGTGTCCGCATAAATATTGGCATCACTGATGGTTCAGAGGTTGGGGTGGACAGCAAGTGAGGGAACAGGAGACACTTCCCTATGCAGCCAGCAGACAGAACAATGATGAGACCTGGAAAGGCTTCCCTGAGGAGGTGACATGATGACTGGCCCTTGTATTTTTGAGAGGTGGACATGGGGCTTCATTGCTAGCAAGGGATTCAGCATAAGGAGAGGTTGGAAGTGGGAATAAATAATAGGGGAAGAAGGAGAAAGACATTCTGAGGATTGAGTCTTCAGAGTTCCCTTTAATGAGAGTCTTGGAAGCTGTTCTTCACCCCTTTATTAAAAAGGCTCTGCTCTCCTTTTCCATGTCCTCCCACTCCTCCTGTACTTTGGAGGCCCTCCACAATTCCATCTTTCTGACACTGTCTCACCTCCTGGGGTCCCAGAGCAGAGACTGAGTTGTGGAGACTAGTCTGAGCACTAGGGAAACAAGAACCAGATGAGGCCGCCTCTGGAAGGTGCGTTGTGTCAGAAAGGTCTGCAGCTGCTTCGCAGAGACCAAGCTGTGCAACACAAAGATGTAGCAGCACGATGCTGCCTCTGATCATGACCTCACCCCGAGCTCCAGGGGCAGCCTTGACCTTCCAGGGTGGGGAGCAAGTAGTGGGGAGCCCTGACACACTGAAGAGTCAGATGTTTTGATTTGTGTCATATCTGTGTTTTACAGAAGTTAACTTTGATGACAATAACACCATGAACCTCACAGGTAAGAGGATAGTCTGGGGTCCATGGTGGGCTGGCTGGGAAGAGGGCCTCTGCTGAGCTTGGGGACTTGGATTCTAGCTGTGTTCTGCCCCTCAGTGGCCGTGTGATATTTGACAAATAGCTTTCCTTCTCTGGTAAAGCTATAGGTTTTACTCACTGAAAATGACATTTAAGCACAGACATGGAATATCTTGCAGACAATTTCCTGGAGCTTGAAATCTCTTTAATCCGCTTCCTGGACTTCAAGTGAAGAACTCCTGAATGAGAGGGTCCCTAACCATTTTTGAATGCTGACCTATAGGATCCACCAGTCTCCATTGAGTCATTTTTGACTCACCTTCCCTGAAGGGCAAGAGTTGACCTCCCATGTAGAGTTTCCAAGGCTGTAAATATTTAAGGGTCAGGGCTGTCTTTTATTTCTCCAATGGGGTACATGGCTGACGGGTTTGAAATGTTGACCTTTCAGCCGGCAATTGAAAGCTTAACCATTGTGCCACTGAGACTTTTTTCCTAGTAGAACAGTTCTCAAGCTTCGATTGTTCAACATGATCACCTACAGAATGTGCTAAAGCTGTTGCTCTACCCCTAAGATTTCAGGTTAATATGGTTTGTGGTGGGACTTGGTAACTTACATTTTTAGAATCCAGAAATCTTTGAGTGATGCAAACCGCTAAATACTTGGCTCTTCCTGAAACATTGGAGGTTAGTGTCCACTTGGGAGTGCCTTGGAAGAAAGGGCTGATGATCTAGCCCCAGAAGTCAGTCTCTGACAACCCTATGGTTTGGGCGTCCCTTGAGTATGGAATTGGCGCAGTGGTAACTGGTTTGATTTGTTTTGTTAACCTCTGTGCTACATGATGCTGTTGGACTAGTGTGGGGAAGTCACAATTTGGGAACCACTTCCTTAAAAACCTGTGTCCTCTGTGAAGTTGCTGGAGGAGCGGGTCCCTGTAAGTCCTTGTGGATGATGACTGCGGGGTTCCAACATCCTGGGGTGCTTTCCCTGTGCTTGAGCTTTCTGTCAGAACAATACTGGTGCAAATAATGGAACAATCCTAAACAAAATGGTTTATTCTTTTCGGAGCCCATATACTGTATATGTTATGAAAAGAAAGAGGAGGTTAAAAATAAACAAACCAAAAGAAAGGAAATGGCTTTTATCTCTAAGACACTTACTATTGTTTTTTTGAAGCACTTCCTTTTCCTCTTCCCACCACCCTCTTGGAGGCACAGCAAAGAGGAGAGGGGCCCAGGGAAGGGATGGGACTTGGCTGAAGCTGCGATTCCCCTGGGACATTCAGAGTTTCTCAAAGGACCGTTCAAAGGGCCTGTGAAGGAGGCTGCCAGGAGAAGCCTGGGACTGGGACGGCTTTGCTGAAAGAAGCAAGCATTTGGCATCACTCTGTGGGACAAGTGCGCTCCTTCCTCTTGCTGGGCCTGCCAGACCTCCTGCGTCTCCTGTGTCAGAGAACTCAGCTGAGGAGTGATGGAGAAAGTCGCCCTGCTCCTGGCAGAAATGCTTCTGAACTGGGCCTCTCCCCACCCTCAGCTGCTTCCACAGACCTGAGGAGTGCCTTTCTAGCTCTCTTGGCTTAGGAGAACTGGCCTTGGAGCTTCCAGCTCCATGTAATGAGGGCATTAAGGTTTGAAGAATGGAGAGGTTTCCTCCCTTGACTCCGGCCATCTCCTTTTGGGTTCTCAGAGGTGACCTTTGGCCACAGAAAGGGTTCACCCTAGCTACACTGTTGTAAGAGTTCTGTTTCTGCAACTGTCTGTTGTTTTACGTAATTCCCTGTTCCTGGAGTCTTAGGAGGATCTCTCAGGGGTTCAGATGGCTAAGCATAAAATTACTAGCTCAAAGATTGACAATTTGAAGCCATTCAGAGGCAATTGATAAGAAACACCTAGTAATCTCTTTCTGAAAGGTCACGGACAGTGGGAACGCTGTGGAGAACAGCTCTACTTGCAGTGGATGAGTTCACCATGAACTGGTCACCTTTTTTGAAAATTTTCAAGTCCTAATGAAGAGAGCTACCACTCTTCTGTCAGTTGCTAGCTTGCTGTGGTGCTGGAACCTATTTCAGATACCAGCACAATCATCCTGGACAGGTTTCAACAGATATTCTAGAAAGACATAGGATTGCTGTGAACCACTGAGTAAGAACCAACTCATAGCAGAACCTCCAGAAGGTCAGTCCCATTTTATAACAGTGGCCCTATGCAATATTTGTCCTTTTGTGACTGAGGTATTTCATTCAGCATAATGTCCTCTATGGTCACCCATTTTGCCTAATATTTCATAAGTTCCTTATTTTTCAATGCTGCATAGTATTCCATTGTGTGAATATACCAGGGCTTCTCTATCCATTATGTTCTGGAATGGTTTGTGTAGAATTGATGTCAGTTCTTCTCTGAATATTTAGTAGAATTCTCCAGTGAGGCCATCAGGACTTTTTTGGTTGGGAGCTGTTCTATGATTTGTTCAAGTCCTTATCATGGGTCTGGTGACATTGTCTACCTCAGTCTGTCTTAGTTTAAGTACTTCATATATTTCAAAGGTTTAAAAACAACATGAATGGTGATTGTACACCATTGGAGGTTATCAGATAAAATACACAAGAAAAAAATTACTATATTTGTGAAAAGAGATGATAAACTCAGTATCATTAATCAGAACAAGTCCAGGGACCAGTTGTAGAACAGACCATTAATTGTTCATATTTCAAGAAACTGAAGAAAATCATGAGAGAGATATGATTTGGTATATGTGTCACCTGAACTTGGAGACCGCGTCAGGGACACACTTGATGCATTTAACATTGATGATCAAAGACCAGGGTAAGTTGTGGTCTGACACCAAGTACATCATATGTGAAGGAAACAGAAGATCATTAAATAGATAAAAAGAAATGAAAGACCAGACGGAATGTCAGAAGATACTCCGAGACTTGCTTTTAACTGTAAAATCGCTGGTTGGAATGGAATAAATGATGAAGTAAGGAAGCTAACCAGAATATTTCAGAGGGAAGTTTGAGAAGACCAAATAAAGTATGATAAAGTACGAAACACTTTTCTAAAGTTAGAAAAGCAAAAGGGCAGAACATTCTTAACATTTCTCAAACTAAAATAATGGAAAAAAATTCAGAATTCAAGTCTCATTATTAAAGGACTCTACGAAGGAAATATAGAATAAGACCTGAAATATCAAGAGACGATGGAAAGAATACACAGTCGCTGTGCCAGGAAGAATTGGTTTGATGGTCACCCTTCCAGAAGACACCATATGATCAAGAACCAGTGTTGTTAAAGGAAGAAGTCCAGTTACACAGAAGGCAGAAAACAAGGCTTGAAGAATTGACAAAATACCAAGTGATATGTTTCTACAAATGGGTGCAGTGCTGGAAACCATCCATGCAAAAAAAAAAAAAAATCTAGGAAACAACAATTTGGCCAACTAACTAGAAGAATATTTGTACTCATTCTTTTTTTTTTTTTTTT